ATCTCTACGCTTTCCTACCCACCACTTCTCGCGGTCATTCCTCAGACTCTTGATGAGCTGGCGTTTAAGGGATTTGCGCACTTTGTCGTATCTTGAATCCGAAGGAATGGCTTTGCGAGCGTCCATCAAGGCAACCGAAATTGAGGAGATCTATCGTTTTTGCTTTGGTCGTGCGCCAGAGTTCGCCGTTGTTTTCATTGAAATTTGGATCGCTTTCTTGATTGCCGACCAATGTTCACTGAGTCCTCCGGCTGATGGTTGAGTTGAGAGGCGATCTGATAGTTCCGCTTCGAAGGCCGATTTGCAACTGTCGGTGATAGTGTATTGTGGGCATCCGTTTTCGGCGGCTTTTCTGCGGTTGTTTATCAGGCGTAGGGAGAGTCTCGCTCGTAGCAGAGCATGGTCCGTGTCTACGGGTGTTGACCAGTAGGAGCGGCAGTCTTCTATGGATCCTCTTCAGTGGTGGCTGATGGTGATGTGGTCTATTTGAGTCCAGCGCTGTGAAGAAGTTGGTGGTCTCCATGTAAGGCGGTGCCGCTTTTGTGCGAGAAGTTCGTGCTTGACAGAAACAGCTCGTCGTCAGCACAAATTTGGAGTAGGCGTTCTCCGTTGTCAGTCCTATTGGCTGGGATTGCATGCGAACCACCAAGTAACCTCTGTGATTCGTCCAGGGATCCCACTTGAGCACTGAGGTCTCCAGCGACTACCACAATGTTCGTTGACCGAGCACTTTGGAGCAGTGGAGAGAGGTCCTTGAAGAATTCATCCTTCATTTCTGGTGAACTGCAATCTGTTGGTGCAAACGCGGATACGACGAATAAGCATCGACGCTTCGTTCTGTAGCTGTCGATGCGTACTGAACTATCCAAACATACGGCGCAAAGTCGTCTGTTAACCGGGATTCAATCGAGAAATGAACTTGTTAGTCTGTTTCGGAGACACAGCATACATCTTTATGGAAGGTTTCAAGGGTTCGAGTTTAGACGGCTTGTTGACCGATCTGGTAGAGTGTGCGGATATTTAGTTCGGCTATGTGAAGAGGGCATTTTGTTTTCTCAAATCTGGCAGCCTCTGAATGGTTTGCCTTATTCGTTGTACGCTGACAAACGGAACGTGGACGGGACAGCACCTAATTGGCTAGTGGCTGCCCAGCTTGGGCGGGCGTTAGCTGTCCAATGAAGTGCGAAGACTTCTCCCACCGTCGAGAGCAAGCCTCAGGTACCCCGTTCCTACGTCCATCTAGCGGGGTTTCTTATCGGTAAATTGCTCTTCACCGTGTTTATTTACTGGAGTGACCTCTTCAGGAGCGTGTGTGGACAGAAGTAGGAAGCCATGAGG